CACCTGGGGACCACCAGGAGCAGCTAGCAGATGCCACTCAACAGCCACGGCCCACCACGACCAGGAAACACAGACCAGAAAAGCACTGAGAGAGTGCAGAGATGGGCCCTCGCACAGAGGAGCCCGTGAAGAGCCAGAGCAGACGGCCCCTGGGCGGTGCTGCCAGGACGTCCTGAGGGGACACACAGCTGCTGGAGGTGCTGGCATCAAGACCCCAGGCTGCACTGTAGCCCGGTGGCAGTGAGGTGGGGCAGACTCGTGTCAGCCTGAAGCTCGGCTGGGCCTGGTGTGGAGACAGGGCTGGCAGAGGCAGTCAGCGGGCTCCTCATGGGGCACGGAGGAGCACAGAAAAGGGCCAAGAGGCAGGGACCCAGGAGGGAGAGGCGGGAGCACCCGGAGCCTTGGCAGAGAGTATGGCCCTGTCCACACCTGGATTTTGGACTTCTGGCCTCCAGGGCTGGGAAATTCTTTCTTTCTTTCTTTCTTTCTTTCTTTCTTTCTTTCTTTCTTTCTTTTTCTTTTTTTTTTTAGAGGTTTTTGCTATAGGGCACATGCACTCACCAGAAAGAGAGACAGAAAGCAAGAAATCACCCCCCGGGGGGATGGCCACGCTGCAATCCCTTCTCCTCCATTCTCCTCTCGGGATCTTGGGCATGCACGCACATGCGCCTGGCGTGAGTTTAAGCCACCGGGTCTAGGACTCAAACCACGGTCGATTACATGGGAGTTCAGCGACATAGCCATTACACTAACTGCTGGTCCTGGAGAGGATTAATTTCTGAGGTTTAAAGCTACCCCGTTAGGGACAGTCTGTGACAGCAGCCACGGATTACTAGTAACACATGACTGGAACGCTTGTTGGAAAGCGGACGGCCCTCCTTACATGTGAGCCGCTACTGCGACAGACACCTCTGCGGGAACCTGCAGGGTGCCTAGCAAGTCTTTAGATACTAAGTAACCCAGCACAGGACCAGGTCTTTAGATACTAAGTAACCCAGCACACACAGACCAGCCCCTGCTGACCAGCCCCTTTAGATACTAAATAACCCAGCAACTACAGGCCAACTAGCTCCAGTTGGAAACTGAGTAATAGCGGGAATGCACCACTAATTGCCAGCGCCAGCAATCTTTCACTCCTGCAACTCACCCACTGTCACAACTGCCCAGTGAGGTGCCATCATGTGTACCTTCCAGTCTCACCAGCCCTCAGCCTCCTCCACATTTCTGTTATATGGCGCTTGCATTCACCAAAAAGACAGAGAGAGACAGAAAACGAGAAATCACCTCCCAAGGGGGATGGCCACGCCACAATCCCTTGTTCTCCACTCTCCTCTCTAAATCTTGGGCATGCACGTGTGTGTTTAAGCCACTGGGTCCGGGACTTGAACCACGGTCGACTACACGGGAGTCCAGCGACATAGTCATTATGCCAACTACTGATCCCAAGACAGTAAGATGCATATTTAATGTCAGCTAAATTACATCAACTTAAACACTCGTTACAGTGCCTGTCCCCGCCAACAGGCTCCTTGGAACTGCGTGCTGCAGGGAGGGGTGAGTGAGGGCCCTGGAGTGTGGACCCAGGTCATTTGTCATCGCTGTGGCTTCCTGACAGAGATGCTGAGCACCACAGGGGCTGCCTCCCTGTGACGGGAAGTTTGTGCATGCACATGTGAAGGCGGGGCATTTCCGTGTGCTGGGGCGGTCCTGCGTGAACACTGACCTCCGCCCCAGCAGCACTGGTAACTGAGGGTCTGGGCAGCAGCTGAGGCCTCTGCCTTCATAGCTGGACTTTGCAGCTCCCAGCCATCACAGTGACAATGTGGGGCCTGACAGTGGGCGTGGCCTGCCTGCCCGAGGGTCTGCAGGGCAGCCGAGGCTTTCCCAGACTTTGGCCTTGTGGGATGAGAGTCTACACTGCCTGTGAGGTAGGCAGATGGCAGCAGGGAGCCCCCAGTCCGTGGTGGCATGGGACCCCTTCCTTGGAAGCTCTGCTTGTTTGGGGCCATTGGGGAACCTTGTGGGCTGTGCTGAGACGAGGGAGGATTAGGGTGCTGTGGCCCGCCTGCCAGTGCTGACAGTGCCTGCCTAACTGGTCCAAAGCCCTCACTCCTGGAAGCCACAGTCATGGCCTACCCTATGCCCACACCTGGAAAGACTCCCCATCTGAGGTTGGTGCGGGTTGGAAAGGCTTGTGATCTCTCCAGGAAGGGGCTGGGGCAGGAGTGACCTCCTGGGTGCCACACGGACGGAGGCTGGTGGACAGAGCTCACGGCTCCTTCTGTTTCCTGGGCTGCCCTGTCCCTGCACTTGGGCCTGAGGTGCCTGGCTTCCTGCTGCACACACAGGTGCTCAGCTGCTGTCTGCTGAGGTGGGCAGGCCCACCCCTCCAGAACATCCGTACTCCACACACTGCTCCATGAGGGAGCCTGGGGGCTGTCCCTGGAGGGTGTCACCACCCACACCCCGAGTCCTGCTTCTCTGTGAGCACGTGCACCCTCTCACAAACAGCTGGACACCATCCGACCTCAGACTGCAAAGGCCCCGCCAGCTGCCAATGGCTGGGAGCAGATGCCAGGCAGGCACCGAGGCGGGAGGGATCCTCCGCCCACTGGGAGCGAGAGTACCTGCAAAGCATCTGTGCCTCAGTCTGCAACAGAGCCCAGGGTGGGCTGGCGGGAGCAGGGGCCAGCGCGAGTTCAGGCCCCGGCAGGTGCCAAGAGGGCAACCCCCTGTGGGCACACTGGCCTGACACAGCCCTGGACTCCCTGCCGCCCTGTGCAGGTGGGTGTGCCCCACGAGTGCTGGTGCTGCCAGGCTCGGCCTTGGCCCCTGCAGCCCGGCACCCAGCGCCTGTCCACACCAGCGCCCAGCACCTGAGCCCTCCAACTCCTTATCTTCTGCCTAACCTGCATGCCCACTGCCTCTGCCCATCCGGAGCAGCCGCGCTGGCACCTCCCAGCCATGGTGTACTGTGGGCCGAGGAATGCGCTTGTTGTGATGATTGAAGGTCGAGTCCCGAGGTCCCTGGGACCGGAAGCTGCCTAGCCAGGCTCCGTGAGCTCATGGTAGGCAGCACAGCTGTGGGCTCCTCCCAGAGCCTCATGCGGCCAGGACTCTGCCATCCTGGGAGACCGTGGCAGGCTGTGGCCGTCCCCCCGGACCACCTCCTCCTGAGGAAGCAATTGGCCTCAGCCCGAAGGCCCTGCCCACCCGAGCCCAGCACCAGGTGAAGGGAACAGAAAGGTCCAAGCCCACCCATTGCTGCCCCAACTCAGGAGCCCACACGGAGGCGGCAGCACTGCTGTGGGTGGGCTGAGGCTGGCCCTCCCTGCCCCTCTGCAGCAGAAGGGCTGAGTGTGGCCTGCCTCGCGGCTGGCCCCCAGGCCTCCCCTGCCCCTCCCTGGCCCCATGGAGCAGTGAGCCTCAGTGGCCCTTGTGTGGCTGGCTGTGGCTGGGTGGGGTCTGCATGCCAGCCAGGCATGGGCGTGTCCCCCAGCTACCTGCACGGGCCACCCACTGCAGCCAGCCTCCAGTGCCGCTTGAGGAAGGCTGAGGCCACTCCCCACACCCTTCTCCTCAGCACTCGCAGCTTCGAGGGGTCAAAGGAGGCGGCGGCTGACGTGAGAGACGCTGGGTGCTAAGAAATGGTGCCAGCCACTGTGCCCAGGGCTGACCCAGACCCTTCGAGAACTCTCCCCGACCCCTTTAACCCTCTAGCACAGATTGGCATGGGCTAAGATGTGGATGCCTGAGAGCGGGGGGCCAATAAAAGGGGCAGTTGTCCTCCCTCCCACAGACGGCCTCAGAGCGGGCACTGCGCTCCCTCCCACAGACGGCCTCAGAGCGGGCACTGCCCTCCTGGGGTCTGGGGCAACAAGGCCCCTTGCGGGCACCCTGCCCACAACACTGTTGCAGGACAGGGACGCCTTGTCTGGAGCACTGCAGGTGCCTGACACCACGATGCACAGGACGTCCCCCCGCCCCCTGCATGGCCACTGTCCCCGAGGCTGTCTAGGAGTCTCAAGGAACTCGCCTCCCGTCCTGTGGCTTCTTGGGCTCCTCCCCCAGACTTCAGCACCTCGACCCCCACAGCTTGGCCAGCTCCGGCCACGCCAGGTCTCCCCGAATCCCCAGCAGACCTTGAACGAACTTCTCGCTGCCTTGTGGAGACTGGCCTGAACCCAAGTGGTGCTCAGCTCCCACCTGATCTCACGCGGGGCGGGCCGGGATGGCAGGGCACATGCCGGTCCGGTCCGTAGCAGGTGCTCCTCCTAGCTCTGGGGCCCCCTCCCGTCAGGCCTGTGTGCCCCAGCCCCACACCCACCTAGGGCTCTCCCAGGTAGGCCCAGAGATGGCAAAACACAGCACAGCGCCTGCCCGGAGTCCTGGCCACGGTAGGAGGCCACAGTTCTGGCCCCACAGGTCTGGGACAGGCCCTCGTGGGCAGCGCCCATGCTGCTGTGGCGAGCTCTGGGCTGCGCAGAGGGCCCAGCGGCACAGAGCAGGTGCTCTGCAGCTCCCGGCGGAGGACTCCGGCTGCCCCCGGACACGCCAGGGCCGGGCCAGCTACCAGCGGGATCTGCCCCTGTGCCCAAGGGCCAGCAGCGGGCTGTCAGCACAGCACTGCAGATGGCCGAGACCCTGAGGAGCTGTCTCCAGGCAGGCCTGCGTGAGCCCTGACCGGTGGACTCTGCGTCCAGGAGCGGGGAAGCAGACGTGCAGTGAGAACTCTGGGGACGGGCAGCCCTGGTCGCCTCAGCCCGCAGCTGTGCTGTGCACCGCAGGAAGCCACAGGACTACCAGGGCCCACCCAGGGCTGCTGCCCGGCTGGGTTGGTGTTCTGGGCCCCTGTGTTAGTCACCCCATGCCTGGGAGGCCACCAGCTTCTTGGTCTCCACTGGTGGGAGAATCCCCATAAATGCCTCCCTGGGCCAAGGCCTGTGGGAGGGGTCAGGGCAGGCCTAGCCCGAGTCTGGAGAGGAGGGAGCTGGGCTTACCTTGTCATCCAGGCCGCTCTCGCTGTCACACTGTAGGGACAGAGAGAGAGAGGTCAGTCAGGCCCTTCGCACCTGCCCAGGGTGGATGGCTAGGCTGGGGGATGGCGAGGGGGTGTACTAGTCACGGAGAGAGGCCTCACCGATCAACCCTCCAGGCAGACGTGGGGTTCCAGAACTAAAGTGAAACCCCCCTCCCTGAGCCAGCCTGAGCCGCAGGTAACACATGGGGTGGCCTTCCGCGACCCCAGGATAGACTATTGTCCCCAGAGAGCTCCTTGGGGCCCTTCCCACATTGGAGGAGCTCTGAGGAGGGACCAATGGTGACAATGGGGAGTGTGGGTCCCTCAAGTCCCAGCACTCCCAGTTCCTCCTGGCAGGATTGACAGGGGCCAGGATGCAACTGTAGCCCAAAGAGGGGCTGGCACTGGGAGGTGGCCCAGGTCCACGCCCACGCTGCCCGCTCAGCTAGGCAGGTGGCACGGACAGAGGGCACGTCTGGCCAGCCAAAGGAGGACAGCTTTGCTCCCCACTTTCAGTGACAGAGCTGCCAAGGGGAGCTTGGCGGGGGGCAACCGAAGCTGCACTCGCGGTGCCATGGGAGAGCAGAGCAGGCTTGCTCAGGGTGACGTCCGCAGCCAGCGGTTAAAGGGGACTGCGGCAGGGGAGGCTGGGGCTGACTTAGCTCACGGGACACAAGATGCTCCACACCCGCAGCTGGTCACGAGGACACCTCTCCCTCCCCCGTCGCCCCATAAAAGAATAACCCTGGGAATGGCTTGGGGTCACGGCAACCTCCTTCGGAGACACCCGGACCACCCCATCCCCCCTCTCTCTACTGGCGTGCCTGTGTCTTTGTCTTTCTCAACCCACTGCTGTTCCTGCTTGGGACTCCATGCCCCTTCGACTCGCACGCCAGGGCAGCGGGCACCCAACACAAGGCAGAACGCGCCCCAGGGACCAGAGCAAGTCCCTGAGACGGAGCGATGGCCCTCCCCGGAAGTGCAGTGTGCCACGCTCACGTCAGAATCACTCAGCGGGAGGCAGAGTGTGCGTGGGTCTGTCATACCGTACATTGGCGACACACAGAATCTGGTCACGTCCCCGCCATACCCCCAGTCCAAGGCTGACACACTCTGACAAAGTATGGCGCCACCACAATGCTGCAGCCAGGAAGCGCCACCCAGCCCAGAGACCATGGCAGGCTCGCAGGTGGGGCGTCCTGGGGTGGAAGGCTTTGCACCCAGCACTGTCTTCATCGTCCAGGGCAGTGGGTAGGGTGGAGCCCCGGGATGGGTGTGCTCTGCCACATGCCAGAGGGCATGAGCTCCCTGAGAGGGTCCCGTGACGCCGTGGGTGAGCCCTGGTGCCCACATGGGCCGGGGAGCTGCTGACGAAGATGTGGCACAGGCTAGCAGCCACCGCGGGGACGGCACATGCTCACACACACCAGGGCAGAGCCGCCAGGGGGACCCAGAGGCCCGGACACAACCTTCAGTCCAGGGAGCAGGGACCCAGGCTTGTTCCAGCCCGGTGCACCATGGCCAGCCCCTCCCCACTCAAGGGCCGGCCGGAAGTACGAAGGGAACTCTGAGCAGGTGTGTGAGGGGCACGCGCCTGCCTGTGCATGCACGGGAGGGGTCTGTGCGTGTGCACATGACGTGGCTGCACTTGTGCCTGTGAGCACATGCAGTGGGCCCCCTGAGGGCCATGTCCCCTCTGTGGGTGGGTGTGACCAGGTGAGAACACGTGTGTGGGCCTGGTGCTCAGAGGAGCTACCCATGCTCTGGGGACTGTGGCCCAGGCATGCCCACGGCTGGGCGCAGGAGGAAGGAGGGTGAGGTTGCAGAGGTGGGTGGTGCTGACACGCTGAGACACAGGCTGGGGCCCCTGCTGCCGGAAGGCTCTCAGGCCGTGTGTGGCCCGGTGAGAGCAGGCAGGGGAGTGGGGGTGGGTGTGCTTCTGACCCCAAGCAGGCCTCCTCCTGCTTAATCGGCACCCTTGGGTCAGTGCCAGCGGGGGGGTGGGGCCTCACAGTGCAGCTTGCCTGTCACTCGGGGCCAACCAGGACCACTTGCCCGGTCTGGTCTCTGCTCAGGCCTTGGCCCCAGAGCCTGTGGGCTCAAGCCGGCAGCCCACAGACACAGGAGGGGACAGGCACCAAGGCCTGCACACAGATTTCCACAGCTCTCAGGTCTGTGGGGAGGGCTAGGCCGCGCTGGCTAAGTGCAAGGCCTGAGGGTGACGGTCACACCGGTGAGGGTTCAGTGTGCCCAACAAGAAGGGGGTGACAGTGCTTCCTAGCTAGCATGGGAGGGGCTGGTGGGAGACTGCACACCACCATCAACACGGCAGGAAGACCTTCAAGACTGCGCTATCTGCTCCCACTGAGAGTGACAGCCATTCGCCCGGGTTGGAGCTGGACGGGGTAGTTCCTGGGGCTGAGTGTGGGAACAGGTGGAAATGCTGGGGGCAGAAGACAGAGCCTGGAGCCCAGGCCCTAGGAGGACGTGCTACGTCTGGCCAGGAGGCTGAGAAGAGGCCTGGAGCAAACACTTTCCCCGAGGCTGCACCACTGCCTCCCTGTGCAGCCTTGGCAGGCTTCTGGACCTCTCTGCACCTCAGTCTATGCTTCTGTGGGGCAGGGGCCGCAGCTCGCAGACAGGGCGGCTGTTGGCTTAGACACGTGAGCACCTGCAAAGCACTACAGCTGCTGGGTACGAAGCTGACATGATACCACGTGTGTCTGTGTCACCACCACCGCATCGCCACCATGCCACCATCATCCCCAATCTCATCATCTCTACCACCAGTATCACGTCCCACCACCACCATCACCACCACCACCACCACCGCACCACCACCATCACCATCACCACCACCACCACCACCGCACCACCACCATCACCATCACCACCACCACCACCACCGCACCACCACCATCACCATCACCACCACCACCACCACCGCACCACCACCATCACCATCACCACCACCACCACCACCGCACCACCACCATCACCATCACCACCACCACCACCACCGCACCACCACCATCACCATCACCACCACCACCACCACACCACCACCATCACACACACCATCACCACCACCATCACCATCACCACACCACCACCACACCACCACCATCACCACCACCACCACCACCACCACCACTATCACACACACCATCACCACCACCACATCACCACACCACCACCACCACCACACCACCACCACCACCGCACCACCACCATCACCATCACCACCACCATCACCACCACCACCACCACCACCACCACTATCACACACACCATCACCACCACCACATCACCACACCACCACCACCACCACACCACCACCACCACCGCACCACCACCATCACCATCACCACCACCATCACCACCACCACCACCACCACCACCACTATCACACACACCATCACCACCACCACATCACCACACCACCACCACCACCACACCACCACCACCACCGCACCACCACCATCACCATCACCACCACCATCACCACCACCACCACCACCACCACCACTATCACACACACCATCACCACCACCACATCACCACACCACCACCACCACCACACCACCACCACCACCGCACCACCACCATCACCATCACCACCACCATCACCACCACCACCACCACCACCACCACTATCACACACACCATCACCACCACCACATCACCACACCACCACCACCACCACACCACCACCACCACCGCACCACCACCATCACCATCACCACCACCATCACCACCACCACCACCACCACCACCACTATCACACACACCATCACCACCACCACATCACCACACCACCACCACCACCACACCACCACCACCACCGCACCACCACCATCACCATCACCACCACCATCACCACCACCACCACCACCACCACCACTATCACACACACCATCACCACCACCACATCACCACACCACCACCACCACCACACCACCACCACCACCGCACCACCACCATCACCATCACCACCACCATCACCACCACCACCACCACCACCACCACTATCACACACACCATCACCACCACCACATCACCACACCACCACCACCACCACACCACCACCACCACCGCACCACCACCATCACCATCACCACCACCATCACCACCACCACCACCACCACCACCACTATCACACACACCATCACCACCACCACATCACCACACCACCACCACCACCACACCACCACCACCACCGCACCACCACCATCACCATCACCACCACCATCACCACCACCACCACCACCACCACCACTATCACACACACCATCACCACCACCACATCACCACACCACCACCACCACCACACCACCACCACCACCGCACCACCACCATCACCATCACCACCACCATCACCACCACCACCACCACCACCACCACTATCACACACACCATCACCACCACCACATCACCACACCACCACCACCACCACACCACCACCACCACCGCACCACCACCATCACCATCACCACCACCATCACCACCACCACCACCACCACCACCACTATCACACACACCATCACCACCACCACATCACCACACCACCACCACCACCACACCACCACCACCACCGCACCACCACCATCACCATCACCACCACCATCACCACCACCACCACCACCACCACCACTATCACACACACCATCACCACCACCACATCACCACACCACCACCACCACCACACCACCACCACCACCGCACCACCACCATCACCATCACCACCACCATCACCACCACCACCACCACCACCACCACTATCACACACACCATCACCACCACCACATCACCACACCACCACCACCACCACACCACCACCACCACCGCACCACCACCATCACCATCACCACCACCATCACCACCACCACCACCACCACCACCACTATCACACACACCATCACCACCACCACATCACCACACCACCACCACCACCACACCACCACCACCACCGCACCACCACCATCACCATCACCACCACCATCACCACCACCACCACCACCACCACACCACCACCATCACCACCACCACACCATCACCACCACACACACACCATCACCATCACCACACCACCACCACCACCATCACACCACCACCATCACCACCACCACTATCACATACACCATCACCAACACCACACCACCACACCACCACCACCACCACACCACCACCATCACACACATAC